AGCAGAGGTCTGGTCTTCAGTTGCTGAGGAAAGAAATGCTTAAGTATCATTAGTTACTGTAAAACTGAAATAAAAAATATTCCCTGAAGTCTTCTGAAAACCAAATAATAGTTAGCTTAACTAGTAAAAAATTTCTGCCTTTAGCATTATGCTCCTCTAAGAACTATCTATAGAATCAAATCCATGGCAGCAACTTGAAAGATTGTATAGAAACCTCATGGGACTGTGAGTTCATTTGAATGAGTGTGGAACTACTCAGAAAAGGAGGGTGAGGATGCTTGCTCAGCTTGAATATAATCAGTGTCACTGAATTGTACGTGTAGAAATGGTTGAATTGGTGTGTGTTTTACTTTGTATATTCTCAACAACAACAACAAAAAAGTCAATAGAGGGTCAGGCATATTTTTACTCTCCAACTTTTTCACCATTGCTGACACTAGCTGTTCCCTCCATGGTACTCTCTACTTCTCTTCTGGGTTCAATAATTCATTGCAATAGCCGCAGAGAACTCACAAACCATACTCAAAGTTATGCGGTTTATTAGGGAAGTAACAGACTATAATCCTGGATCAGAATCAACTTGAAAGTAATAGGAACAACTCAGATCAGGATCAGGAAGCATATAGGCAAGGTCTGAAAGGTTCCCTCCAGAGCATATCCCTCCTCCTTCAGTGTAAGACAGCTTCCAACCAGGACAGCTCTTTCAGCTGACTTTGGTTGGCAGGTCTTTCTTGCCCATGCGACCAAAGCCTTATCTCATCTGTGCTTAACTGGCCTTTCTTTCCATCATGCTAGCTGATTCTTCTCTCAGCTATACATGCCCCCTTTCAGTCATGCAAGCCTCTCAGCTTTTGGCCTTCTCATTGACCCAACTCATAGCCCACTCAACTCTCTTTGCTGCTTTCTTAGCAGCAGCCTTCTGCCATCATTGCTGGCTGTTCCACCAGCTCTCTGCTGCTGGACCCCTTCTTGGACTGTGCTGCCTCTGAGCCCTTTCTCAGTTCCTTGCTGTGTTCAGTGTTAAAACCCTTGGCTCATATTATAGCTCATTTAGGAGGGAGGTTCACCTAGCAGGAACCCAGGTTCCAGACTGCTCTGTCCCAGGCTCTTCTTGGTCTTAATGCTCCGTCCTTGCCTCTAAAAAATCTCAGTGGAGCTGACCAATTATATAAGCAAACACTTTGTCAATTTCAAGGCGTGGCTCTCCCAGCAGGATCATGAATTGACCGGTCCCCTCAATGGGCTGCAAGTCACTTAATCCTTTTGGGTGGATTTGCAGCCAATACCCCAAAGAGTTTGTTGCTTTTGCCCAGGGAAGAAACCTGTCTCTGTTACTTTTGTGCAAAACTTCAGTTGATTGACCGGCTGGGTCACTATTTTTCAAGGAATTTGTTGATTTATGATTCAAAATAAACAAGCCAAACCCACTGACATTGAATCAGTAAGCAATGTAACAATCCTCATAGCTTAGAGGAAAAATCTCCCAAGGTGTTTTTAAAAAAAAAACAAAGCAAAAGCCACATAAAGGAGCTCCTTTCACCATATTCATTCACTTACTCACTCAAATTAATATTTATTGAACATCTACTCTGTACTAGATACTGTTCTGGGCATTGAGGGTACAGGGATGAATAATACAAAGTCCTTCTTCTCATGTACCTTATCTTCTAGATAGGAGAAAGACAATATACTAATAATCCAATAAGTGAAAAGATAATTTACATGTTATATGTGCAATGAGGAAAATCAAGTGGTAATATTACTGACAGAATAGTGGCTAAATTTTGGGTGTTTGAATGAGAACTTTCTGAGAAAGTTACATTCAATCTACAATTTGAATGCCAAGAAAAACCAAGCCATGTAAAACTCAGGCCATAGACTCTTCTAAGGAAGTGAAAAAATTGGAACTGTCTAAAGCAGGAATAAATATACTTTTCCAGTTAAATTCCTTGAAGGCCAAGGACTTTTTCTTACAGTTATTTTTATTTTCTGTATCTGTATGATACTTTTTCACACAAAGACAAATGCTTAGTAATTAATTTAACCACTGTTTTCAGTAAAGTCTTGCAAAAAAATGACATGGAGGCAGCATCTTCTGACTTCCTCTAACTTCACAAGAGGAAGACAAAATCCCATGAGCAGCCGAAGGCTTATTCTTACTCCAATGAGGCCAGACATGCTGCCAACCCTTCAGCCTTTTTACCACCTTTGACACCACCCACACTACTCACTGCTTCTCTTATGCGTTCGATTATTTATTGCAGTGGCCACACAGATCTCACAGACAGTACTTAAGATTATGGGGTTTATTAGGGAAGTAACAGGCTACAATTCAGGTTTGGGAACACGCTCAGGATACAATTCTTAGATCATGACAGTCTCCCCCTGCTGTACCCTCAGACACTCCTCTCTGGCCCTTGGCCACTGCCTCTGTAGGCCAGGTCAGCGTGCCACTCTATCTTGTGCCTCTTGGTTCCACTGCCACCATCTCTCCACCAGGGTGTCTCTTCACCTGTGTGTCTCTCAGCCAAGGAGGTCCAGTACAGGGATCTTTGATCTAAGATGTGTTCTACTTCACCTCCAGCTCTTCTGTCTTGATGTCAGTGAGATCCCCCCTCTGCCTCTGTTGTTTTTGCTATGTGCCATGAAGTCAGACCTGACTCATAGCAACCCTTCCTTGGGTTTCTGAGGCGGTATCACTAAGGAAGTAGATTGCCCAACCTTCCTTCTGAGGAGTGGCCTCTGCCTCTAGGAGTGCTCATTTTAAGCCTGGCAGAGTGAACAAAACTGACCAATCCCAACATTAGAGTTCTGCACACCTTATTTGCATGGTCCCACGAGCTCTGGTAGCATAGTGCCTAAGGCACTTGACTGCTAACCAGAAGGCTGGTGCTTCAAACCTACCAGCCACTCCTCGGGAGGAAGATTGGGCATTCCTACTTCCGTAGTGATACTGCCTCGGAAACCCAAGGAGAGGTCACTATGAGTCGGGCCGACTCGATGGCAAATAACAACAACAACAACAACAACAACCGCTAATCCAGTGGAAGTTATAGAGACTATAACTAGAAAAGCCAAATCAAGTGATTTGCTGTATTGCAAATTTGCAAACCTAAAATATTATTTCTCGGGTCTTTTTCTCAGAAGTGTTTTAAATGTTTATGGGGGAAATCATTTTATGCCTCCTTTTTAATTAGTTTTTACTTTAAAATAACTTACAAAAATTTTCTAATTAAATCTTGACTAAGATGTATTTTTTTCTGAATATACATTGAACCTTCTTGTGAGAATTCAAATGTAGTAGGAAGAGTAATGCAAAATGCCTCCAAAATTTGATACACATACTATTTTACATACATATGTTGTTTAACATGGCTCTTTTCTGTCAATAGTAGTTGTAATTATTTTTCCATGTTGGTGAATATAGGTTTACATTGCCTTTGTGAGGTATGTAGTATTCAGTTGTATGGGTGAACCATGCTTATTTAAATAATTTCATATAATTACATATCTTATTTCATAGTTTTTCACTATTTTGAAGACTATTGTTACAAAGAACATTGGGACCTTGTTTAATGATCTCCTTGTTTAAAGTCCTTATAATAATTAATAAATTCATAGCCATGAAAGTCCTTGTCAGGAACATTATATGAAGTTACATTCCTAAGAAGAATGCATGTACAATATATGCTTATTTCCCTGTGTCCTCATGAATACTAAGTTTTGCCTGTCTGCATTATATTTGTCAATCTGATAAGCAGCAAATCTCTTTTAAATTTGCATCCTTTAATTACAAGTGAAATTGAATGATTGTCATTTAATATATAATCAGCTTTTGTCATTTGTTAAAAATATTTTTTCCTTAATTCCAATTATTTAAATGTCTATGTTACTTTTAGCCCCTTAAATTTTTTTTAATGTTTATATAGTTTTTAGCTTTTTGGATTTATGTCATGCTTTTAACCCAGACTTGTGTTTCTCATACAAATAAGACTTACTATACTTCTTAACATTATATAGTTGTACATCTGTATAGATGATATTCTTTCTGTTGACAGACTCACTATGATAAATATAACGTGGTTTAAAAAATTATGTGAAGATGGGCTAAAAAAGTTCCTGAATGTTTATTATTCCCCTATTTTGTATTCTCTTAATTGCTTCTTTCATAAGTCCTATCTCCCTAATTAGATTATAGGGTAGCACATCACAATGAAGGCTGATAAGGGTCTATGTTTTGTATTTTACTATGTATATGTTCCTAATAACGTGCTGTAGCCCAGGGATTGAATTTATTTTCTCTGAGTCAAAATTTCTTTGCAGATAAAGTAATCATGGTAGATATTTTAAGTAGAAGGGGCTTGATTCAAGAAATTAGGCAGTTACAAAATGATTAGAAGACTTAGAGATTCAGAGTTTTAAAATGTCACTGCAGAACTTACCCCAGCTATAATCAGAGAGGTTGGAAATCAGGAAGCTGCCACTGCAGCTGTTGGTCCCAAGCATATACTATGTGTGGTATAATTTAGAAGTCAAGAAGAAGCTGCTACAACTATTGGCAGTGACAACACAAATATCTTGTGCTCTGCCTCTCTTCACTTGCAAATAGTGCTTGGACTTTGGGACCACAGAAAACTAAAGTACTTTATGTGCATGCTTGTGAAAAGAAATAGAAGCTAAGAGTCAAGGTCTATGCCTCAGTTATACCTTCCCAGTTTTATATGTAGGCGTTTGATTGTTGAACCTAAATCACATTCAGATTCCTAGATGCAAGAGGATTTGTGAAATGCTAGCTTTTGCAGGAAGGCATAGGAGCATAGAATGGATGTTGAATATCAAACTTCCATACTCACCACAGTGAATTTCTATGATAAAAATTTTATATCTTTCATATATATCATAGATGGAAAATAACATAAGAAGCTGGATTAAAATTTTTAAAATCATATTCTTAGATTTACTTTTGTGATGAATTTGATGTTTTTCCTTCTCCTTTTCAGCACTTACTAGAGGTGAATTCTTTAAAGCACCTGACAAGACTGACCCTACAGGATCGAATTACCAAGTCTCTTCTTCATTTACACAAGAAGAAGAAACCTCCTAGTATCAGTGCCCAATTTCAGGTTATTCCTATTTTACTTATAACAAATAGAAATCAGTTTTTTTTTTTTTTTCCAGATTAGTGTGGAAAGGTTAAAAATTAATAAGATATTTATTCATAAGATTGAAAAGCCATGCTTTACTTGTCATTTTGGAGAGAGGTACCAGGAATGGGAAAATAACTGCCTTTGTTTCTCATTCTTATATCTGTGGATGGTGGGTATCTCAGTGACTACTTAATTATTTCAATGTGAAGTAAAAGGCAACAGAAAGTAAATATTACTAAAAAACCTGGCTTTAATCTATATTGCATAGATATATATATATATATTCAAACTTACCAATGCTCATGAAGATAGAGTAGAGGACAAGGCAGTGTTTCATTCTGTTATATGTGAGGCTGCCATGAGTTGGAGGCGAGTTGGAGGCAACTTGACGGCAACTAAAAACACTAGTCTTCATACCAGTCTATTCACTGTTAACATAATGATGTATGTTGTCTTATACATATATTTAAACTAAATGCTGCTGCCATCAGTATTAAATAGGATTATAAAGCTTTTTTTTTTCTGTTTGTTTGCTTTAGTTTTTATATATAGAAATCTAGTTCCTTTTACTATGACTGGGCATTTAGGAATAAGTACGATTAATATTAAGTTAGTCAAGCCAAAATAGCTGTTTTCAAGATAGTTTTCCAATTACCTCTTTCCTTTCTTCTTGTCTTCTCTCTAAAGTTCTATGTATTTGATAGATTTATATATTTATGCAAAAGCTGAAAATCTGGTGGGTAGCAACAACTTTTAAGGAGCCTTGGTGGTGCAGTAGTTAAGACTTGGCTGCTAACCCAAAGGTCAGTGGTTTGAATCCACCAGGGCCTCCATGGCATAAAGACCCGACGATCCGCTTCTGTAAAGATTACAGCCTAGGAAATCCTATGGAGCAGTTCTAGTCTGTCCTAAAGGATCACTGTGAGTTGGGATCAACTTGACAGCACACAACAACAGCAACAATACTTTGCATGATTTACTCTCCTTTGTGATTCTATCACAGAAGCAATATTTACTGCTAATTAAAAATTCCTTTATCTGATGGTAGGTATATTTCCATGTAATAGTACTTTTTAAAAAATGCTCCTGTTTTAGCCAGGATGTTTGAACATAAATTATCTATTAACATGTTACTGCATATGATCTTGTTTGATTTTTAATCACAGTCTTGCAAACTGACTTAGAAATGTCATTTATTTTAGATAATTCTCAGCATAGATCTGGAGAATAATTTGAATTGGTGAAGGCTATTGTTGGTCATGTAACTTTCTTTAAAAAAAAAGAAAAGAAAGAGAAGAAGAAACCAAGACTAAAGAGCAAATTAACTTATTATGTGCTAATAAGTTTAAATTAAGGATGTCTAACTATAAAGGCATCTCTGCCATGAATTTTAAAAATTTTTCCTAATGAATAAACTTTTGAGTTAATAGTATTTGTTTTGAAGTAACAAGAAAAAGAGGTTTGTCTGTATCTTAGTGCAGTCCTCACATTCCAGGATCTGGATTTTCACTTTGTAGATTTAGAAATACAAAGATAAATGAGAGAAAAATCATGCTTGACTGATAAACTATAAGCACTGTTGTATAAAACAATATAAAAATTTAATAATATACAGTGAAAAATATGAATCATAAGCAGACTTGATATAATTACTAGTTTATTAGCTTAGTTCCCCCTGGTTAGCATCAACATGGCAAGCCAAATTCTGATAAAAAGAATAACATGGTGAGCTTGGTATTTGAAAATGGTATCATGATTATGAACGATCATTAAGCTTTAAATGTTCTTTGATTTGTTACCTTGGATTTTCTATACTTGCCTTGTATATCAGACTCCTTTAATTTGTAGAGTGTAATATAGCTATTGCCATAAAAGCTTAGTTATAATTAAAATTCTATCATATCCCTTAAAAATCTCCCCAAATTCAGGGATTTTGTGTATTTCTGAAATTCTTAAATAATATTCATATATTGTATTTTATTTCTTTTAAGAAAGAATTAAAAACATCAAAAGATAACCTTCAGTGTTTCTAATACACTATTATATTATCACAACTGTAATAGGAGTTTATTAATTGAAAAATACAGATGAGCAAAAACAACTGAAAACAACTTTCCATCCAGAGATAATGACCACATGTACTGTATTTTCCAGACCGTTATTTAATATTCAGACATAAGTATCATCTAAATTTCTCTTAAACCTTTCTGTGAGGTAAATACTACTATCCTTATTTTACAAGTGAGGAAACTGAGTATCTGAGCAACTTTTAAGTGGTGGTAATAGATGATGGCAACCAGGTGTCTTTGTCTTCATGCCCTTCTTATGAATGCTTATGTTTATCAAACTGAAATCATAGAACTCATGAAGGATTAACTGCTACAATAAATCCTTGAGTCCTGAGAAAAAGCATACAGAAAAACATTTTTGAAGAAATAATGACCAAAATTTCCCTGACTTGATGAAAAGTATAAATGCAAAGATTAAATAATTTCATTAAACCCCAGGGAGAACAAGGAAAACACACCAAGGCATATCATATGAAACTGTTAAAATTGGTTAAAAAGAGAAAATTTTAAATGCAGCTAGAGTAGGGGGAAAAGCCATTTTGTACAGTGAAATGAAGGTAAGAATAACAGTAGATTTCCCGTCAGAAACTTGTAAGACAGAAGATAATGGAGTGATATTTTTAAAGTACTGAAAGAAAAAAATTGTCACCCTAGAATTCTGTGCACTGTCAATATATCTTTCTCAGACAGAAAAAAAAAAAAAAACCTAAGAAAATTTATTACCAGCTGATCTGCATTATCAAGAGATGTTAGAGGAAGCTCTTCAGGTGGAAAAATGATGGAAAGCCAGATGAAAATTTGAGTGTACACAAAATATGAAGAGTGCTTGAATGATAGAAATGTAGCTAACAATGTATATTAAAAATACTTTTCCTCTTCTTTTAATCTTTTATAACCAAATATTGTGGAAAACAAGAAAATAATAGTACTTTGTGGAGTAGAAATAAATATATGACAGAAGTAGCACAGAAGAAGGGATTGCTGAATGGAAGTATACTGATGTAAAGTTTTTGCATTCTGCAGGAAATGACATAACATTATGTAAAGATAGATTGTGATAAATTAAACATTGGAAGCCATAGAGCAAACCTTGAAACAAAGCTGTAGGTAATACTCTAATAGCAGAGCTAAAATGGAATTAAAAATTAACTCTGGCAAAAAAGAAACAAAGAACAGATTGACAAATATAAGTAAATAGCAAGATGATAGACCATGAGGACATCTTCCCTATTTCCAGCCTCTCAGTAAATTTGAAACTTTGTCTCCTGCAAACAAATGACAATTTTTAATGAGTCTATTCCTTTGACCCCCCCTTCTGTCCAATAAATTAACTAACACCTTAGTTTTGAGAAAGATGATGCAACTTGATCCTAAAGCAAAGAAATGTGCAATGCTTATCCTAATCTTCTGTGTGAGCCTTGTTACTTCTTAGGCATCATATCTGTGCTCAGGTAGCTCCTTCAAAGGAGGAATTTTGTGTCTTCCACCTAAGAAAATAGGCCACACACAGTGGACCATACTATTACTGTTTGCTTGAACAATTTCTCTTAGAAAGACTAGCACAAGGCCTGTCCCCATAAGGCGGAGGTTAAAGATGTCCTAGATGTCCAAACTACTTTGCCACTCCATCATTTCAGACATTTGACTCCTCCTCTCAGTAATCGCCCCCATCATCGGGTTCTGTATTTCACTATAATGCCTCACAGAACTCACAGACACCCAAGGGATCGTCTCATGTAGTGGTGGTGGAGGTTGGGAGGCTGGCACGCTGGCAAGTCCCAGGTCGTTAAGTAGGTCTAGAGGATCCTCCCAATTCTTGGGGTTGTCAGATCTCAATCAGCAGATCAGATGTTGGCTGCTGTCCCAAATTGAGGGGTGAGATGATGATGAGCCAAAATGCAGAACCAGAGCAAGAAGAGGGTGAACCTTCCCAGAGGATTTATATGTATACCCTCAAGGAAGCTAAGGGTGATGATTTGGGTTATATCCTCCAGCAAGGTGGGACTCAAGATATATCCTGCCTGTGCTGCTCATGCAAAAATAACCCAAGTGGATGACTTTAACAATCAGGAGTTTAAAAGCATCTACTCAGTTGCTCATGGCAAATTCCACTGCAGAGCTGATTGCCAGTCATTATAGGGAATAACTACTACCAGCTGCCCAAGCAAGTTGACACACAACCTTAACTACCATACCACCTTAAACAGGCATACATAATAGGATTTACAATACATCATAAAATGGAGGACAGTGGCTAGAAGGGCCACATCAGGCAATTCACTGCATCTGAATATCTGCTGAAAACTGCTGGTCAAACTATTACCCTTCTCTTGACATGATGAGGCATACCCAGCTGCTTAGGAATCCTAGATTGCTGGGAAACACATATGCACCTGTGCCATTAGTTAAAAAAGCCCGTTGCTTAGAGTGGTGAGAACTCTGAATTTTTCTTCTCCCTGGCCTTTGAGTCTTAAGAAGAATATAGGATATATTAAAGTTTGTTTTGATTGTTTGGTGAAAATCTTGAGTTCTCTGTGTAAAGTCCATTTCTTGTTGCCATCAAGTGATTCTGACTCATGGTGACCATGTGTGAAAAGTAGAACCTCTCCATAGAGTTTTCAAGGCTGTGACAGAAGCAGATTGCTAAGCTTGTCTTCTGAGGTGCATCTAGGTGGGATCGAACTGCCAACAGTTTTAGTAGCATTTGAGCATTTAATGTTTGTGCCACTCAGGGACTCCAAAAATCCCTTAGAGGAAAATAATTTACTTCTTAGTTCTACTTGAAGACCAAAGAATTTAGTCATTAGCCAAACTAACCCAGCTGATTTTTATTCTCTGAACATATATTTATGCATTAGTTTTCTACAATATCTATATATTACTTTAGTGACCAAAATAAGAACTGCC